GGTGAGCGGCGCGCACGATGGGCAGGTGCTGCTTCTACACGGTGGGCACGCTGTCCCTGCTCCTGCTAGTGACCAGCGTCACGCTGCTGGTGGCCCGCGTCTTCCAGAAGGCCGTGGAGCAGACCATCCAGAAGGTGAGGCGGCGCGGGGCTGGGGGTCTGGGGGTGCTGCAGGGGGAGGGGGGACACTGAGATACCCCTCCCCTCCCCACCCCCGCGCCAAAGCCACTAACCTCCATACGTCCTTCTCTTCTTGGGCTTGGTAGGCGAGGGCGAGAGGCGCACGGGGCAGGACAAATGGCAATGTCTCCGGGTCACTCTTCCCTACGCCCGTGGCTTCAGAGTTTAGCGGAGAGGGGGAAGAAGCTCTCGCGTCTGTGTGGTCCTTCGCAGCGCTCAGCCCCACCACACCCCAATCACTGTTGGGGGGCCCCCACTCTTCCTTCCCACTTCCTGAAGACAGGGCGGGACTTGAAAGGCGCCGCGGAAGAGGCCGAGGATGCGGCCGTGCGGGGCCTTTGTGGTGGCGCGGGGCTGGGGAGGAAGAGCGAGCGTGCGGCTATTGTGCTCCCGCCGCCCGCGCCGGCGGCAGGGCCCTGGGCAGCCAGGCCCCAGGACCCGTGGGCCTGTCGCCATCTGTGTGGCCGCTGCACTTCCTTAACTGGCTCGCTATCTTGCGCCATCTACTTAGGCTGCGTCCGCACCCTCGCTATTCTTGCCCGTCTCAAACAGCCGCAATCTTCAGGTGAAGCTGCCTGTGGCCTCGGAAAGAATCTGTGTCTTTTCTCTGGAGTCACTTTAGCTGCCTTCTCCATCGCCTGTCTTCCCTGGTCCTTTCTTCGCCCCTTTCAGCCACAGCCACCACACCGTGGAAGCAGGACCAAGAGAGAGTTCGTCCTCGGTTCACTTTTTCCTTTAAATAAAAGCATCACTGGAGCCCCCTTTCTCCTCAGCACATCGCTCCATGTGTCACTGGAGATGCCTGGGCTGCACGTGCTCTCCGCCCGGCGCTCCATGCTTAGGAATCGCTTCTTCTGGGGGGCAAGGGACCTAATCTTCTAATAGCAGTGTCCAGAAATATTCCGCTAATTGAATTTGTAATTAAAGGCAACTTAAAAAGAAAAGAAAAAAAACCCCAACAAAACAAAAGCACCGAGCAAAGCGTAATTTAATTTTCAGAGTTCACATTCCACCCCCACCCCACCCCAAATCAGTTCCCCCCACGGAGCTTCTCAAGCACCATTGTCCACTTGTCCCCAGGCACTCCACAATCAAGGAAAATAAACAAACTCTTGCCCTCCTCCAGCCCATGGCAAGATGTTTTCCAGCTTGCAGACTAGCAAGAAGCAATCATGGGCTAACTCAGAGGCGAGTTTTAGGCCGTTTCAGAAGAGGGGTGTGAGATAAGGGCCTGGCTCAGTGCCACGAAGAAAAATGAAACCAGTTGCTGTCTCGGGCGAACCCCGACGCACAGCCGCCCCATACCTGTCAGTACAACCGCGCTCCACAGGCTTTTCCACAGCGGACGGTTCTGAAGTAGATTACCAGGCGTCTCTTCCCAGGTCCCTCTGGGTGGACTTGGATGGTCAACCCTTTGGTTTAGCAGCTGAGCATATGCATCATGTGCACACGCAGAGACTGCCTCTGGAAAAGGCAGTGGTGCGCCAGGTAATGAAGAGGGAGAACAGAGGCCTTTGGATTAGGGTGTTGGTCAGAAATAGTGACTCTCCCCTTGATTGCCAGAAGAAGAAAGAAGTACCACAGACTGCTCCTTAGGAACGAAGAGGGTGAGACGTGCCTCACACTCTGTGGACATGTCATCAGGAGGCACAGCCCTCGGAGGATGTCGTGGTTGGTAAAGCAGAGGGTCGGTGAGAAAGAGAGACCCTCACGAAGATGAACTGACAGTGTTGGCAACTACACATCAGAACGACCGTATGATGGTGCGGGACTGGGCAGTGTGTGCACAGGGTCCCTGAGTCGGAACCATTAGGGGCACCAAACAACAAGGTTTCCGTGAACTGGACTGGTCTGAGCATTTCTTCAGCCATGCCCCCGGGGACTCCATTTCTTGACCCAAAGGGGGTGGCTATGAACCAGTATGTCTGGGGCTTGGGTTTGCTTTGATATTTGGTGACTGACTTTTGCCAAGTGGTTTTCTCAGTGAGGAATAACCTCGGCTCTAATTGATGAAAGCACTGAGGAAGTAAAGTTTCAGAATTGTGCAACCTCAGGTAAGGAGAGAAGCCCCAGTTGCATAGTGGTTACGAGTGAGGTGCTGATGTCAGCACGTTGTCGTTCACAACCACCAGCTGCTTCTTGGGCCATGGAAGTAGGAAGTCTCATCTTTCTCCTGTGGAGCAGCTGGTGGTTTTGAACTGCTCACTTTGTAGTTAGCAGCCCAACTCACAACCATTCTGCCACCAGGGGTCCGAACCAATGCAAGGAGTAGAGAGGTTATAAGAATTCTTAGAGAAAGTAGGTGTAGTTTTCACGGGAGATCGTTCCTGTTAACTGCTGTTGAGTTGGCCCTTGAATCGTGGCAACCCCCTCTTGGCACGATTTAGATGGTTGCCATGATTTTGATGATTTTCGTTGGCTGGTGTTTTGGAATAGTTTGCCAGGCCTTCCTTCCTAGTCTCTCCTAGTCAGGAAGCTTTGCTGCAAGTTGTTCAGCTTCATAACAACTTGCAAACCTCCTGACAGATGATTGTGGTCCAAGCATTGAATCCAGGTATCTTGAACCAGTGCCTTCTTGGGTATAGTTAGTGATTAGTCCATACGAGCAGTTCTATGTTTATGAGATGTCATATAAATAGGGGAAAATTGCATGAGATTTGGAATCAGATACAAAATACAAAACCCATTACCATTGAGTGAATCCCAATGCATAGCAAGCCTGTAAGACACATTAGAACCGCCCCATAGAGTTTCCAAGGAGCCCTGGTGGTGAAGCGGGTTTTATGTTGGGCTGCTGACCAGGAGGTTAGGAACACGGAATGGCCAGCTGCTCCAGGGGAGAAAGATGAGGCTCACAAGTCGAGTTGTCTTGGAAGCCCCAAGGGGCAGTGCTAACCTGTTCTACAAGGTCACTTTGAGTTGGAATCAATTCAATGGCAGGGAGTGAGAGAAGAGTTTCCAAGGCTGTCAATCTTTGCAGAAGCCCGCCAGGGCACCTCTTTCTTCTGCAGAGCAGAGCGGGTTTCAGTGATGGACCTCTTGGGTAGCAGCTGAGCACTTTACCACTGTGCTCTCAGGGCTCCTGGAGTCACACGTCCTACATTTACATTGAGCTCTTGCTATTTTACAGACTTTGTGGCTTTGAGAAAATGACTCCCCTTCCATTTTGTTACTTTAAAGCAGTGGTTCTCAGCCTTCCTAATGCCACGGCCCTTTAATACAGCTCCTCATGTTGTGGTGACTCTCCCAACCATAAAATTATTTTCATTTCTACTTCATAACTCACTTAGCTACTGTAATGAATCAGGTAACCCCTGTTAAAGGATTGTTCCAGTCCCAAAGGGGTCGCGACCCACAGGTTGAGAACTGCTGCTTTAAAGGGAGGTGTGGGATTGTGTGGGGGGTGCTAACTACCCTTGATGCACTGGTATGTTTACTTATTTAATTTATTTTTACATTTTTGTTGGCACCTAATCCACATATCATACAATTTAATAGTTCAATCGTTCAATTACATCGAGATGAATTATACAATCATTACAAAAATCCATTTTAGAACCAACTACCCCACCTCACCCCCGCCAACCCAGTTAAATCGCCTTTAAACTGAGTTGTGTAATCAGAAACAGTTCCAGTGCTCCCACCCCCACCCCGCCTCTGTTGTTACTCCTGAAATCCCCTCGCAACCGGTACATTTATCTTGAAGCTCACAAAGCTGAGGTTTCTGGAGCCCTTGTTTCAAAGACCCTTCTCAGGCTCTGGGCCTCATCCTGTATCCCTGATATTCGTATTCTAAGAGTGGACCCTTGGAGGTGATTTAAGCTTCAGGACCCAGACTGCTGCATCTGCCTCCCTGGGTGCCATTGTGGGACTCAGTGAAGCCATCCAGGCAAAGATAGCACAGTATCCTACACAGAGCAAGTCATCAATATCTGTCGGCTGCCAGGATTTCCATGATCAGGACGATGGCACAATGTTTGCATAACTTGACTTTCATTCATTCAAAGGTTGCTCTCCTCCTCCTTGTCCACAAGAGGAAAAGGGATGGCATTCGAATGAGTAGGGTTGGCTCGTTGTGGGCAGCTTAGTGCAGTCATTCCTAGTAAAAGAATTTATCTACAGGGATCATTGTCCGTGAGCCCAGAAGTGACGGGGTGTTGTTGGAAGAAAGTTCTTATATTCCCAGTGAATATGGTGGAAGGAATGAAGACAATTGGGCCCCGTTCTTGGCCACACTGGTGATTCTTCTGTTGGGCAAGACCTGTAATTGGTTCTGCTTCATTGTTTTCATTTGCCCATTTGTAAGTGTCCCTCCTCCTCCCCGGGCTGGCATGAGCATTAACAAGCCTGGGCTGGCAAGTGTTTTGAGCGAGTGTTGCAGGGAGACCCAGCAGTCTGTTCTATCTTCTAGAGCCAGGAGGCCTGGGGCTCTGATGGTGCCTCTCAGACCTGCTGACAGACAAGGGCTGTTCAGAGGGTTACTCTGAGGGCATGTGCCAATGGACTGTTTGAAGTAGGTGCAGCACCATAGCTTGGCTCAGGCCTGAGCACTTCTCCCACCACAGCACAGATTCATCCTCCAGGGCAGCGCCCCCAGACCTGGGACAGGCCCTCCAAGGCCGGTTGAGAGGGGAAGGGCTGAGTGAGGCAGCACTGACATGCAAATCCTGCCAGCTGCCTGGAAGGGCAACCCCTTGCCAGTCTGAAGTCACAATGTCAGGTATGTGGCTAGCTGGCTTGCTGTGTCCTAAGAGATTTTTCTGCATTGTGTGCCCCCCCCTTTTCTGTTTTTAAGTAATACCACCCCCCCATCTCAGAGCTTTTACTTGTCTATATATGAACCTTCCCCTCCTAAGAGGGAGCCCTGGTGTCATAGTGAAGTATACATTGGACTGCTAACCACAAGGTCAGCAGTTCAAAACCATGTCCTGCTCCATGGGAAAAAGAGGAAATTTTCTACCCCTGTGAAGAGTTACAGTCTCAGGAACCCATAGGGCAAGTCTACCCTGACTTATAGGATCACTGTGAGTCAGCATCAATTCAATGACAATGAGTTTGAGGTGTGTGTGTGTGTGTGTGTGTTTGCTTCCCCTCTTAAACCTGGGGGAAAGAATTGTACTTTATATAAAAATGCCCTCAAC